ACTCCTATCTCCAATAAACCACCAAAAAAAAAAAAAAACCGGAAGGGGTGCTGTAGCTCAAGTGGTAGAGCGCTCGCCTTGAGCTGAAGAGCTGAGGGACAGCGCCCAGGCCCAGAGTTCAAGCCCCATGACCGACAAAAAAAAAAAAAAAAAAAATTTAAAAAAAAAAAAAAAACCTAACAGGGGGAGGAATCTTGTATCTCCCCTGTGTCCATAACCAGTCTTTTGGTGGAGTCTCTGGTTTGCTTGTGGTGTTTGGTTTTCCTGTGGCTTAATTGGTTTCTTAAGTCAGTTTGTTTGAACAGGCAGAAAAATGCTCTGCCTTACCGGGGACTTTATGATTCTCCTCCCAGGCTAGTTCAGTGGAAGGGAGATCTACTGTGAGTATCACAGAAGAGGGAGATGGCTGTTCCCAATAGCTTGAAGTTGCTGTGATGAGGCTAAGTTGTGGGTAGAGTTAAAGCCTGTGAGCAAGCAATAGCTTTTCCCTGAGGGGCTAGATCCTCATACACTCACAGAGCCCAGTCTGGAGCCATTCTCAGGATTTATGTTAACTGAGTTTCAATTGTTAGAAAAAGGGAACTTTTAAGCACTGTTGGTGAGGATATAAATTTATGCAGTCATTATAGAAAACAGAAGTTTCCAAATAAATAAAAAATTAGAAATACTTCCTCTGGGCATATACCCAAAAGAAATGAAATCAATATATTATAAAAAGACATTGCATCAATCCGGAGAAAATGAGCAACCAGATCCCACCCATGTCTATATTTTGTCCAGGACTATTTAATTATGCATACTTTATATTCTCTGCCACAGTTCTTCCTCTATTTGGAGCAAAACTTACGTCTATTCAAAAGATAAACTAAAATGCTTACTTTGTCCTTTCCAATGGAATACTCATGCCACATAATAAATCTCCTTTCTCAGCACTTACTGAATACTTTCCTCTTTGCTATATTGATGAGAATTGTTGGACTTGATATGTTGAAACCCCTGGAGTTGGGCCAATTGCCCACAACTCTGATTATATAAATACATGAATATTCATTTTTTAAAATGCCAGTGTTTGGGACTGAGCTCAGGGCCTGGGTGTTATCTTTTGGCTATTTTACTCAAAGCCTTACCATTTAAGCTATAGCTCTACTGTCAGCTTTTCGTTGGTTAATTGGAGGTATAAAGTCTCACAGATTTTCCTGTCCAGGCTGGCCTCAAAACTCAATCCACTGACATGAGCCTTTTGAATAGCTAGGTTTATAGGCATGGGCCACTGGCATCTGGCTTAAATATCTTAATGTCACTGAATTTCACTACTGAAACTTATTACAAGAGTGAACTTTATGTTATATACATTTTACCTAAAAATTAGAGTTTAAACACTGAAAGATCAATCTATTCAATTAACTAATTAATTCAATAGTTCTCAAAAGAAGTTTAAATGGTCAGTGAAGAAATGTTTGACATCCTTAGCCATAAAGGAAATGCAAATCAAAACTACACTGAAATTTGATGTCACTACAGTCAGACTGGCTGTAAAACAACAACAAATGCTGGTAAGGATGGGGGTAAAAAGAATTTTAAAATACTGTTAGTAGGAATGCAAATTCCATAGTACAGCACTATGGAAATCAGTATGGGAATCCCTCACAAAAAGAATACAGTCTTAATATATCTCTACTGAGCATATAGCCAAAAGAATTAAGTCAGCATACAATATTTACATATTTACAATCATGTCTATAGCAGAACCGTTCACAATAGCCAAACTATACGATCTGCGTAAGTACCCCTTCATTGATGAATGGATAAAGAAAATGTAGTAGATACACAATGGAGTATGTTTTAGCCATAAAGATGAATGAAATAATGTTGATCTTAAAATAATAATAATAGATAAGAGTCTTATAGACTCTTATCTACAATTAACCACCAAAAAGTGGGAAGTGAAGCTCTGGCCCAAGTGGTACAAAGTTAGCTTTGAGTACAAAAACACAAGGATAGCACCCAGGCCTTAAATTCTAGTCCCAGGACCAGCACCAAAACAAAAAAAAATATAAAGAAGGATAACTACTCACGAGGCTGAGATCTGGGGGTTATGGTTCCAAGCCAGCTCCAGTTAACTGCTAAAAGTTGGAAGTAAGGGCAAAGATCAAGTGGTAGACTGCCAGTTGTGAGCCAAAAAGCCAGGCAAGAGTGGGGACCTAAGTTCAAGCAAAAAACAAGCAGAATCAAAAATTGTAGCTGGAGATCATCATGTGAAGCAAAGTAAACAAGATTCAGAAACATAAATAGCTCACAGTTTTTCTTGTATGAAATCTGGAAAAACATACATGAGTAAACAGCAAGGTATAGCTGGGGGAGGAGGAACCAGCAGCAATGGGAGGGAGATAAAGATTGTGGTGGTGATGTTTAAATGATCAAAGTACTTTACACACAAATGTATAAACACAAAAGTATAAAGCCCATTAAAATTGAAAAAAAAAGAGGTAGGTAGGAAACAGTAATAGAGGGGTGTTTGATTATGTTGTATACATATATAGAAAGATCACAATGAAACAAATGTACAACTAATACATGCTTCATATAGAAGTTTAAAACGTATGGTAAGTGAAGCCAGGCATTGGTGGCTTATACCTGTAACCCTAGCTGCTCAGGTCGTGGTTCAAAACCAGTAAGTTCAAGGAAGGTCATGAGACTTTTATCTGCTTTTTTTCTGCCAGAAATGACTAGTGACTCAAAGTGATAGAGCACCAGCCTTGAGCACAAAAGCTGAAGAACAGTGCTTAGGCCCTGCGTTCAATCCCTAGGACTGGCGTGCATACATTCACATATTCATGTACATAGACAGACAGACACACACACACACACACACACACACACACATGCACACACACACACACACAGTATGCTAAGTGAAAATAAAAGCCAGACAAAAATTTTTACTTAATATACGATTACATTTATTCAACTGAGTATGTAGAATAAACACACTACAGCTCCTATAGCTCTGAGTAGTGACTCTGGGCACAGCATTTACCATAATGGAGCTAGAAGTACCCATGTTTCTTCAGGTTCCTTCCTTCCTTTCTTCCTTCCTTCCTTCCTACCTGCCTGCATATCCACCAGCTTCCATCTCTATCTTTGCCACTAACTTTCTCTAAAGTTAATTCAGTGTAATTAGGCTTGGGGGAAAAGTAAGCTGAAACAGAGGACATGTTATAATCAACATAGCAGCGAGAACCCTCATTCTAGTTTCAGAATGAGTACACTTCCTAAAACCAAGTCACAGAAAAGCTTTGAGCACCTTTCCTTTGTAGTGGTTATTGTTCTTCAGACAACTCAGCCTATATGCCTATTTTCTCTTCATACCTTATATATTATTTTAGGCTATTCATATTCTTTTCCAGGAATGAGTCTGCTGTGAGCCAAGAGGATAGAGTGAAAAGTTGTTAGTTATTTTTTTTTACTGTTAACAAGACTTTGTTAATAGGGAGCATGACTGCCATTGTTGTATTAAGTATGTAGTGAACTGGGAAGAATTATCTATCCTGGAAGTTTTCTGGATAGTTTGGCTGTAGTCTTTGTTGCTTGCTGTCCACAGAGCCTCATGTGAGGAGAAGCTAGGGACTTCTTTCTGTTTCCCCCTTGTGCACTTCTGTGTCAAAAAAATGAGAAGGAAGTAGCTATATATGAGATGGTCACTGAGCCACACAACCTATGTAAATAGGAAGCTGAATTTTCAGATGTTTATGACTTTTTAGTCCACTGCTTATTCTAATGACTGCTAGGTTTTCAGAGTTGTGTTTTAATATTTGGCTAGTTAATTGTCATGATAGTGGTGATAATTCTCACAGGTTAATTTCAACCAATTTATGTTCAATAAGTAATGTATCAAAGTATACTTTCATAAATTAGCACCCTGGATGAGGTAGGTGTTTCAAGAAGCTTGCTTAGAAAACATGCCTTAAGAGAGTGTATTTTCTACATACCAGGGCATGATAAATTATATAAGATTCTAGGCATTCACCCACAGTGAGATCAAAGAAAGGTACTCTTCCGGGAACAACACAAAGACACAATGCTTATGTGCCTCTGATCTTATAAAATAATATTTATCCATGGGAAGAAGAGTTTTTTCTTTGTTGTTGTTTTTGTTTTCTTTTCCTTTTAATTTATCTGTCTTTGGGAGAGTAAGAGCGGCACAAAGGGTGAACAAATGCAACAGTGATATGCACTAAACACTATGTTAAAAATGAACTATACACCTTGTATGTGGGGATGGGAGGGAAAAACTGGGAGAGAGGAAGGAATGACAGTCATCAAAAAGAAATGTTTATCTGAGTTACATTCCTATAATCACCTTTACAATAACAATAATAAATTAAAACATGTAATTTAAATGAGCTCCAGGAAATGGAAACGAGTTTTTTTCTTTGTTGTTGCTTTTTCTTTGTTCATCTATCTGATTTGGGGAGGATAAGGGGAGGCACAGAAATGGAGAGACAAAGGGTGAACAAATGCAGCAGGAGTACTTACTAGACACTCTATTGAAAATGAACTGTACAACTATAGGTAGTGATGGGAGGTAAGAGTAAGGGAAGGGGTAACATAGTCCAAAAAGAAGCGTACTCATTACTGAACTTATATAACTGTAACCCCTCTGTACATTACCTCTACAATAGCAATAAAATGTATTAAAAATAAAAAACTGTATTTTCTATGTAATCATGTTTTTATTGTATGAAAAGTGGACTGAAATTTAAAAAGCTCTGTTTCTGTTGAGGATGGAGTAACATGATCAACTTTATCCTTTTACCTAAGACAACCACGCAAATCAGATAAAACATTTATTTTTGAAGCCCTGGCCGACAGGCAGTGAACATAACTGAAAAATTGGAAGTAGAACGTGGTCACTGCTCTGCTCAGTGTCCAGGGAGATTGAATCCCAGCTGAGTGGATTAAGTGACATAGGAATGTAGACTGGATGCAAATCAGTTTTCCCTAGGTTACCAGGTTCTTCCCGTGATATGGTCATTTCCAGTATTTAACAATGCAACAACAGCTAGATAAGACGGAGTAAGTTTATTACTGTAGATCGTATGCAGACACTGGCATGAGTACAAGGCCCAGAGAGAAAAGTGTGTGGGAGGAGGCAAGTGACTTTTCCAGGCCCTGGCAAGGCTGGTGCTTGGAAACTGAAGGCGTGATCAGTAAGCAGCACCTGTGCTTGGCAGCGCCTCTGCTGTACTTGTGACCAGAGGAGAACTTGTGTAAAGATAAAACCTGGGTAAATTTTAATGCTATTCTGTGTCTTCTCACTATCCTTTGACATTGTCTTTGTTTTACTAGTTGCTTCTGTCACATACTCAGATGTGTGTGTGTTTAATTTTAGCCTGCTGCTTTCTTTTTCCAGAAAAGCCTAACACTAAGAAGAAAGATAAAAACTGGACTTTAGCTGATTTTTCTTATCCCTGCCATTTCAGCCTTAAAGAGTTTTGAGCTACTGAAGCTAATCAAAATGAATAATTCAGAACATACAATTGGAGTGAATTCCCCAGAGGTTAGTTTATTATTTCTGGAATGACTTTAAGCTTTCTACTTTTTTTCCCTTCCTTCTTTTCTTCTCTTTCTTTTTGTTTTCCTTCCTTCCTTCTGTTTGTTCTGAAGTTCTTTCACTCTTTTTGAGACACTGACTCAGTTGTGAGCTGACCTCCAGCATGTGACCTTCTTTCCTTAGGCCCCTGAGTGCTGGAATTATAGGCATGTATTATTATGTCTAGGTCTGAAGTAACTCTTGGTTTGATAATGCAGAAATAACAAGAATGTTTGATTCATAAAGTGCCCAGGCACAGAGTTCAGGCCCCACAACTGGATCCCCCCCCCAAAATACGGAAATTATGACTCTCACAACCAATATGAGTTCCTTTCAGTCTGCTGAAGAGGGTGGAACTGATTTTTGACAAAGCTCAGTAGCTTAATTCTGACAGAATTATTTTTTGGGGGTCCAGTCATGGTGCCTGAACTCTGGCCTGAGTGCTGTCCCTCAGCTCTTCAGCTCAAGGCTAGCACTCTATCACTTGAGCCATAGCACCACTTCCAGCTTTTTTCTTTTTGCTTATGTGGTGCTGAAGAATTGAACCCAGGGTGTCATGCATGCAAGGCAAGCGCTCTACCGCTGAGCCACCTTCCCAGCCCCTCTGACAGAAATTTTATGGAAATGAGATTTCATTTTATATTAAGATCTGTCAATGTGGATATGGGAATTCAGTCAAGAAAAGAAGAGTTAATTTTTCCCCCTATCCTTGAACTTGGGCCTGAGTGCTGTCCCTAAGCTCCTTTTGCTCAAGGATAGCACTCTGCCACCTAAGATACAGCACTACTTTCAGCTTTTTCTGTGATTAATTGGACATAAGAGCTTATAGACTTCTCTTCCCTGGTTGGCTTTGAACTACGATCTTCGAATCTCAGTCTTCAGAATAGCTAGGATTCCAGGGATAAGCCACTGGTGCCTGGATAAAAGATGTTAACTGTGTGCAGCTGATAAGTCTTGTGCAGAAAGACTTGTCAAACTACCATAGAAAGGAGTTAAAATGATCAGTCAAAGAAAGCATTGTAACTACAAACTTACACATGATAATGCATACTGTGAAGATAACTTTCTGTGTGGGAAGAAAACAGGAAGATTTAATTTAGATGTGATGAGAATAAAGAAAGCCTCATGAGAAAGAGACATTGGAGAGAGCCTCTTCCTACACAGAATTTCTAGGAATATGTGAAACCAGCATTTCAAGAGAGAAAACAGCCTTGCAGAGAATAAATATTTAGTGAATGTACCCAGAATCAATCCCAAGTTCAACAGCTGGGAAACCTAATGTCTCCCTGACTTTTTGAGGCCTATGCTGTAGTGAGGAGACAGATAAGGATCTGAGGGTGTATGAGGTAGCACAAACTGACGATGGGGGAAATCTTTCCCTCTTTTTTTTTTTAATCTCTGCATCTTAGTGCCAGCAGAGACCACAGCCCTGACCACGAAGGTCTGTACAGTGGATCTATTTCTCCTTCCAATGGATAGGAGATAATAATCTCTTTACTTCTTGGTTCTCACTGTCCTGTTCTGGCTCAGACTCATCCCCACAGAAATGAGCGTATGCCATCACCTCTTAACAGGTTTTATTGCCTGTAGCCTCTTTATTCCTTTGATATATTCTTACCTGACTGACAAGGTAACTTCCTGAAATACCATTTAGAACAGCAACTTCTTCAGTCCAAAACTTTTCCCAGCACCATGCTGGCAGAGGAGCATCTTATTGGGAGGTGCTTACACATTCCCTTCTTTTATTGGGAGGTGCTTGCACATTTCCTTCTTTACCTTTTCCTTTCAGATTAGAAACATGGCCAGGACTCAACCTCCTTAGTTGATATTCAGGAATATCTTCTCTGTCCTTCAGACATTGAGGGCATTGTCTTGTAGGGATGGGTGAGATCCTTCATAGACCTAAATGAGTCACAGAGTTGGAAGCCCCATTGTGTTTCCTCAATTTTTGTTCTCGGATTCGGTTTCGTAATTAAGTACTCAGACTCTCTTACTGTCAGACTTGAATTCAACACCAGTTCTGTCATTAACTCTGGAAATCTTTTCTATAAATTATTAGTCTTCTTTAAACCTTAATTTCCTCATCTGTTAATTCCAGGAGGCTCATTGCGATTGTATGAGTGAAGTTTGGATTATAAGAAACACTTTATACAAAAATTTAATAAGTGCCTAGCCTATAATGAGCCTTGAGTCCATATTTCTTAATTAAATCATTCATAAGCTATATGTGTATTGATAAATAGAGTTTCAGCGGATGACTTCTGACTTGCCTTTTTTGCATCCCTACGATCAGTTAGTAGTTTTCCTCCAAGTATTGTTTTTGGAGAGTGTTCCAAACCACCACTTTTATTTAGTGGTGGTGCTGGCTGAAAACACTGGATTAGGAATACTGAATTTTAATGTCAAGGAGCTGGATGGAAACTTCATAGACTAAAATAGACTCAAGAAAGTTAGTTGGAAATCTTCTGTGGGTCCTCTAGTTTTGCACAGCCCTCTGGTTTTTTCTTTCTTTCTTTCTTTTTTTTACATATATCACAAAGACATGTAGTTTCTTTTGTTTTTTGTTTTTTTGTTGTTGGCCATGGGGCTTGAACTCTGGGCTTGGTCGCTATCTCTCAGCTCTTCAGCTCAAGGTGAGCGCTCTACCACTTGAGCCACAGCCCCACTTCCTTTCGGTTGTTCTTAATTGGCCATTTGTTTTATTTTCCTTTTAATTAAAAATAGTAGAAGGTCTTAAAGCTGGGGCACTGGAGAGTAGGTTCTTAGTGTTCTAGTCCCATTTCATAAGGTCCTTCACAGACTTAAATGAGTCACAGAGTTGGCAGCTTCATTGTGTTTCCTCAGTTTTTGTTCTAGGATTTGATATCATCAGGCTCATTGTTAGAATGAGAAGAAAACTTGAGCTCTTTTCCTTTTAGATTCTATGTAAAACAAGTGAACCATAAAGAATTTTGCTGTTTTATTTGGCAATTAAAATCTTCAAGATCTAAAATAATGGTAGCACTGGCAAAGTCACAATGCCTTGAATAATCTTTTTGCATATATCAATTGTAAAAATGCTGAATTTCATGATAACATTTTAATACATGTGTTCAATTCACAGTGATCCTATTTATCGCTTATCGGTTTCTTTTGTTCTCTCCCTTCCCATTTGCTACTTCTCCATCTTACTTCCAAGTCTTTCCTCCACCCTCCCCATTCCTGGGGCTTGAAACTCAGGGTTTGAGTGCCCTGAGCTATTGTGCTCAAGGATAGTGTGCTTTACCACTTTGAGTCACAATTCCATTCCAGCTTTTTGTGGTTAATTAGAGATAAGAGTCTCATGGACTTCTTGCCCTGACTGAATTTGAACTGCAGTGTTCAGAGCTCAGTCTCTTGAGTTGCTAGGATTACAAACATGAGCCACAAGCATCCAGTCTTTCATGTCTTTGTAAAACAATTACATATAGGAGAAAGCATTCAATATTTGTCTGTGTTTTTGAGTTTGCCTTATTTTACTTAACATGATGATCTCTAGTAGTTCCATCAATTTTGTTCCATATAATTTTGTTCTTTATCTAAACTAATACTTTACTGCCCATAGATACCACACTTTCTTTATGCATTTATCTATTGACAGATATACGAGCTTGGAAACTGTAGATAGTATATATACAATATAACATGGATAGTTCCAGCACCAGTACAAAAAGTTATTTTGAAGTTCACATACATTTGCAGTATGAGAAATATTCATGGTAATTTCTACCAACAGTGAATAAGGGCTCCTTCCTCCCTCCCACATCCTTACCAGTATTTATTGCTTTTTGTCTTCGTGATGATATTCATTTTGACTTGTGTGAGATGATAGCATCATGTAGGTTTTTTGGGGGGGGTCCATTTGTGGGGCCTGAACTCTGGGCCTGGGAGCTGTCCCTCAGCTCTTCAGCTCAAGGCTAGCACTCTACCACTTGAGCCACAGCACCACTTCCGGCTTTTTTTTTCTTTTTGTTTATGTGGTGCTGAGGAATCGAACCCAGGGCCTCATGCATGCAAGGCAAGCGCTCCACCACTGAGCCACCTTCCCAGCCCATGATGTAGTTTTAGTTTGCATTTCCTTATGTTGAATGCCACGTGTTGAATTGGCCATTTATAGTTATTTTGGAAATTGTCTATTCAATCCATTTCCCTACTTATTGAGAGAGTTGTTCTTTCTGTGTTTACTTTTTTAAGTTCTTTGCATATTTTGGATATTAATTTCTTGTCATATGAATAGCTGAAGAAAATTTTTCTCTCATTCTTTAGTCATCTCTTCATTCTGGTAAATTATTTTCTTTCTTGTATAGAAACTTTAGTTTGATGCAGCCTTATTTGTCATTTCTTCCCATGACTTCCTGAGCACATGGAATCCTATTAAGAATGTCTTCTGTACGTTTGCGTATTGAAATGATTTCCTGTAGCAGTTTCAGTTTTAGGTATTAGATTTAGATCTTTGACCAATTTTGAGTTGATTTTTATACAGGATGAGAAGTCTTGTCTTAGTCTTTTACATGTTGATATCCAGTTTTCCCAGTAAACATTATTGAAGAGGTTGTCTTTTCTTTAGTGAATGTTTTTGGCACCTTATTGAGAATTAGATTGTTTTATTTTTTGGATCTTCCATTTTATTCCATTGACCTATATTTCTGTTGTTGTGGCAGTATCATTTTAGTTTTTCTGTCTATGTCTCTGTAAACTTGAAATTAGATATTATGCTACTTCAGCATTGGTCTTTTTGTTATGGATTGCTTTGACTATAGAGGACATTTTGTGCTTCTATGGAAATTTTAGATTTGTGTTTTCTATTTGTGTGAAGACTGTGATTGGAATTTTGATGGAAATTGCATTGAATATATATATCACTTTGGTAATATTTTGTTGATACATGAACATTGGAAGTCTTCTCATTTTCTTTTGTCTTCTACAATTTCTTCAGTGCTTTTGTTCAGTATTAGTTATGGAAGCATTTCATCTTCTTGTTTAGTTTTATTGCTACATATTTAATTTTTGAGGCTGTTATTAATAGGATTGTTTTACTGATTTCTTTCTCAAAATGTTCACTAATGGCATATAGAAATGCTACTGATTTTTGTATGCTGATTTTATATTCTCCGCTGAAAGTGTTTAAACATCTAAGAGCTTTCTAGTAAAGTCTAGGATCTTCTAAACACAAGATCATACCAACTGTCAATAGGAATAACTAGACTTCTTCCTTTCCTGTTTATATACATTTTATTTCTTTTTCCTGCCTTATTGCTCTGGCTAAGAATTCAAACATTATATGGAAAAAGTGGTAAAAGTGTATGTGTGTGTGAAAGAGTTTGGAGTCAAAGCATTTTTCCACTGATATTTCAAGAAAAATCTGAGAGGCTATGCAGAGGTTTGCAGCAAGGACTCAGTTATCATACAGGGTACCTGGTAGGGAAATGCTGGTAACTAACTATATTACCTATACCAACAAAACATCTACACACACACACACACACACACACACACACACACACACACACACACACACACCACAACAATAAAGTAACAACAAAACTATAATAAGGCCAGGTGCTCAGGAGGTACTCAGGAGGCTGAGATCTAAGGTTTGCAATTTGAAGCCAGCCCAGGCAGGTAAATCTGTGACACTATATCTAATTGATCACAGAAAAAGCTGGAAGTGGCACTGTGGCTCAAGTGGTAGAGTGCTAGCCTTGACCAAAAGGAGCTCAGGGACAGTGCTCAGGCCCATAGTTGAAGCCCCAGGACTGGTTTGCCAGTGTTTTGACAAATCACAAAACCAGAACAACATAGGTGTTATTTCGCATTGGCTCACATTGATTCCTATAATTGAATTACTTATCAGTTACAAATATACCACTAATCTCTGTTTCTTCATCATGATGCCCTTGTCCAACCCCAAATAAAGGTGTATTTAGGGGAGTACTTACAACAGACAGGTTTTTTAGAGTAGGCAAACATCAGTGTTTAGGGAGTCTGATGCATAGATTTTCAATTTGATTTTCTTCAGTGGCATAGTTTACAAGGCCTCTCCCTCATTTCTTTCCTCCTTGACAGCCATTACATACCCTCATTTCCATCCTTGTTTAGGTAAATCTTCTGTAACCTTAGATTTCTGTCATCCATATGTCTCTCTGAAAAACTACTCTTCTCCCAATACCCCCTGCCTAACAACCTCAATTTCTTTTCATCTGATAGACAAGTATTAAGATCATAAATGTTAACTGTTAAGATAAACTCTAATTGTACACTTAATGCTTTCAACAAAATCTGACCAGAAAAACAAATCCCAACAATATCAAACTGTCAACTGACTAATCAGTCAAGAACACAGACAATAATCTATTAGGAAGACTACAGCCTCTACTCCCCAAATTAAAACCAAAAGAGTTTCCAAATGGGCAGAACAAACCATAGAAATAAGAAAAATGGCAAGTCAAGGAAGCTTAATTTCCACAGAAAGTAACCAGACAATACAGAAGACAATGAAGGACCTAGAGATATTTCTCAAAATGCTTTAAAAATACTGCTAATAAATATAATTAATGAAAAGATAGAAAACTTACACAAGGCAGTTAATAAGCAGTATGAGACTAAACAGACATTATTAGAATACATGGAGTCTACAAACTGAAAACCAAAAGAATTCCAAGGGAAGGAAAGACTCCAATGAAAAAAACAGTCACCCAACTAAAGGAAATGAGATTAGACATAGATGAACAAATCAAAGAAGTGATGCCCATATATGACCAAAAGGAAAACTCCCAATAAAGAGAAGCCATCAAAAATTACCAATTAGAAGACAGAGAAATTAAAAAAGTAGGAAGTCTTGACAGCAGAATAGATGATATAGAAGACAGTATTAGAGATTCAAGACAGATTAGATATAATAGAGAAAGAAGAGAAATTATTCAGAACAAATGCAAGAAAGAGGAAATGAGCTTGCAAGAACTTTAGGACTCAGAAGACCTAATTTAAGACTGATAGGTACTTTGAAGGGAGAAGAGAAGGAAACTAAAGGTATAGGAAACATATTCAACAGAATTCTAGCAGAGAGCTTCTTGAACATCCAAAAAGATAGGCCCATTCAAATATAAGAAGGCTTTAGAACTCCCAACGGACCAGACAAGAATAGAACATTCCATCAACAGATTGTAATATGGATAGGCTCAATAGAGACCAAGGAAAGCAACCTTAAAGTTATCAGAGAGAAAAGCTTGATTACTTGTAAAGGAAAACCAGTCAGAATACCTACAGAGCTTTCCTATGACCCAGTAATTCCACACCTGGACATTTAGCCAACAGACCAAAATCACACTAAAGCTACCAGCACATCCATGTTCATTGCAGCATTGTTTACCATAGTCAAGATATGGAATCAACCTAGATGCCCTTCAGTGGATGAATGCATAAAAAAAAATCTGGTATAGTCACACAATGGAATTCTATGCTTTTATAAGAAAGAATGATACTGCACCATTTGTAAGGAAATGGAAAGACTTGGAAAAAATTGTATTAAGTGAAGTAAGCCAGACCTAAAGAAACATAGGCTGCATGGCTTTCCTCATTTGTGGTAACTAGAACGTGCCTATAAATCTACAAGTAGGAAGTGGCGCTGTAGCTCAAGTGGTAGAGCGCTCTCCTTGAGCTGAAGAGCTGAGGGACAGCGCTCAGGCCTGGAGTTCAAGCCACATGACCAACAACAACAACAAAAAATCTAAAAAAATAAATCTACAAGTAAACACAATGAATGGTAAAAGACAAAAAATTACAGGTGGACATGATCAATTAAATAGGACTCTGAACATTCACACAGTGAAACCAAAGGAAGATATTCTTAGGAGAGGATTACAATGGCTCAATAGCTATGTGTATATGATCATATAATATGTTTATTGAAATGATAAGAGTTTTTTGGTTTTTTGCCTTTTTTGTTTCTTTCAGTTATGAAGGTTATTATTATTATTAAAGATTCCATGTAAAACACATGACCCAGTAAGTTTTAGTGAGTATTTAATATTTTATTGGAATTGCTGGCATCATACTAAGGTCATAGTGTACCCATAATCATCAGAATATAATGTATTCTTTGGGGACAAGAGATATTTTGCCTATGTTCCAGAAATGAAATGCCTACCTTCTGCATATTTTTATCTCTGTAGGTCAAGGGTACTTTTGCAGGTCATGCTCTCCCTGGAGCAATCTTTTTTACCCTGGGTTTTTGGTGGTATATAAAGATTCTTTTGATGTATATATACAAAAAGCAAACACGGACCTGCTACATTCGTTACAAAGCATTCTTCCAGAGAGCAGAAATTTTGGAAGGAATTATAAGCCTGTGTATTATCTTAACTGGTAAGTGGAAAATTTTTGTTTTTTTGTGTGTGTGCATAGATTAGACTCAATATAAAAAATGACTACAAATATTTTCATATTCAAAATATCTCTTAATATGTATCTAATTGTAATTGCCACCAGATATAATTTGTTAAGAAGATAATAATGCCTCATGTTTAACCAAAGGATTGTTCTTTAATGAGTTAGAGTATTTAATTTCCCTACCAAGTGAAGGTGAATTAGATTTTAGAATTGGTTTTAGAATTGGTTTTAGATTTTAGAACCTCTGAAGCACTCTCATAACAATATTTTCTGATAACTGAAAGAATGAACCCTAATTTAAATCATTTTTCAAATAATACCAAAATGATTAAATGATTGTAGAAAATATTTACTAGTAAATCACTGCGGATAGTCTGTAGACTGGTCAGGGCACTCATCCTTTTCTGTTTCTTCTTTCTTTCTTTTGCTCTTCCTTCTTTTCTTTCCCTTTTCCCCTTTTTCTTTCCCTCCCTTCCTTTCCTTCTTTCTCTCTTTCACTTCCTTCCTCCTTCCCTTTCTTTTCTCTTTCCTTTCCTTCCTTCCCTCCTTCCTTTCTTCCATCCTTCCTTCCCCCCTCCCCCTCTCTCTCTTTCCTTTTATGCCAGTTATAAGGCTTGAACTCAGGACCTAGTTACTCTCCCTGAGCTTTTCTGCTCAAGGCTAGAAGTCTACCACTTCTGGCTATTTGGTAGTTAATTGGATAAAAGAGTCTCATGAACTTTCCTGTCTGGGCTGGCTTTGAACTGCAATACTCAGACGTCAGCATCCTGAATAGCTAGATTATAGACGTGAGCCACCAGCACCTGGCTTCTCTTGCTTTCTGACTTGGTTAAGGAGGTTAGATTAGTCCAGGTAATTTCTGAATCATAATCATTGCCTTTGAAAATTCTTCAAAAAATTCTGTATTTTAGAGTTCTATTAGAAATTTTCCTTCCAGTATTCAAATTAGATTTTTCTCATGCTTTATTAATGGCAATAGATTTTCATTGACCCTGAATTACAGATCAACTGTCTCCAAAGAAAATAATTTCCTTATCAATTTCTATAGGTCAGCAAATAAGTTATCATCTCTAAGAAAGTTAAACTTTTTGTATAACTGACTAAATCATGTGGTGTATCTATCTAGGCCTCTCCAGTTATCCTCAATTGAGTCAAAGCAGAATTTCAGAGCTTTGATCAGATAAGAAGGATAACTCCTTATCTTGTGGCAGCTATGCAGTGATGTAGAACTTAGGAAGGAAGTAACTATCCTTTATTATACTGACTCATAAGCCTAATTCCTTAAATAATTCAAAATGTAATTTAATCATTAGATTGGAATTGGTAGTTGAACTAAAATCAACCGCATTGAAGATCTGAAATAGCCAAAAGAGGGGAATCTGGCTCATAAGAGGATGATAGATTGGAAAAACTTCAAGCGCATCCTCCTACATCTTCATGTAATCCTAGGTAAGTTTATGGAGAAAGTTATTCATGCTGTCTTCTGTTCTTGTACAGGTGTAATTGTTCTACAGATCAAGGCTGTAAAAGAAGACCAGTGGCTCCGATTCCTGCGCTTTCATCATTTAACTATCTATCTCTTCTTTGGTTTGTGGGCAGTGACCAACATCTTATGCTTCAGCACCAGGTCAATTCCAGTCTCCTTAACCAAATTAATGTTGGCAAATGCCTTTCTTGTGACTGGTAAGTATGAGTAACTATTCTTCATTAGCCAATATTTGTATAGCCCTTTATAACAGTGTATCTTTACTGCAGCTTTGATAGATAATTCTGTATATCTTGGCCATCATGAGATACTTGGATATTCTAAGCAGAATGCTGAAAATCTTTCTTCCCTATTAATAGAAGTATACAAATAACAATTTCTCACTATGCTTTTTTCACATTATATTTATCTTAAGAAAGAAATACTAACAGTTCTTACCAATCTCCTTGGATATTATCATTGTTCTCACATTTGACAATGAGAACTGAACTCAGAACAATGGATATCTTGTAATGACGCAACTACTTACAACAGGACACCTTCCACTATCTGCTCATAAGCTTTCAGAATACTGAGAGAGTAAAATTGTCCCAATATATGATGGGTAGAGTCTAAAAGTTTCATTCACATCAAAACATAAGGTCTTTATTTTCTTTATTTTTAGACTTTCATGAAAAAAAAACTCTGTGTGTGTGTGTGTGTGTGTGTGTGTGTGTGTGTGTGTGTGTGTGTGTGTG